AAAAAAAAAAATGTAAAAACTGTTGAATGGGAGGTCTTTGGATTTTTCAACACTCAGCATCTTCTATACCTAGCAATTATAATTTTTATGTATTAAAAAATAATCATTTTATAATTCTAATTATGTACTTACTTGCGTTACACTGGATTATCAAATGTTTTTTTATGTTCTCGACTTTGAAAGACCTTCTATTATTTGTAAGTAAAGTTTTATAGGCGGAAAATGATCTTTCTACGTTTACCGATGTGATGGGAGCATATTTAAAATATGTCAGATCATTAATATCTAAGTCTTCTGGTAAGTCTTTCATGTCAATTAATTCACCGTTAAGAATGTTTTTAATTTTCTTTTGCATAGCAAGACCAACATTTTTCTTCAATACATTTTCCATCTTTGTACAGATATTTTTCCCAGTTGTCCCAGTAAGACGTTTCATTGCAACACTTACATTGTCAATAATTTCAATTGAATCAGCTAAAGAAACACCTTCAGTTTGCAATTTTGTAATTGATGTAGTAAGAGAACTAAAATTTGATTTTATGTAGACTAAATCATTTTTAATGTGAGGTGTTGCCAAGTATTTTTTTGCATTTTTTATACTCAAAGCATCCTCTGAATCTAATTTATTTACAATATTGAAAATTATCTCAAAGTGTTCACAGTAATATATGGCTGCATTTATCCAGGTGCCCCATCGTGTTATTACTGGCTCTGGAGGTAAAGGTAAATCCGGTGCCTCAGTTTTAAAAAGAAGCATGCGAGATGGATCTTTTCTAAATATTTTTTTGATATTTGAAATCAGCTGATCAACAGATTCATATTGGCTTCGTACTTGTTCAGTCACCCTGTGTATCCCATGAGCAGTGCATGTAACGTGTATCATTTTGGAATATAAAGCATTTAACGTTTGACCACATTTCACCATGTAAGGTGCTGCGTCCGACAAAAATAATAAAACATTGTCATGTTTTATACCATTTGGCCATAATATAGAAAGAGATTTGTCAAATAGCTTACTAACTGTAGAATAATTAGCTTTTTCCAGTTCTTCTGTGTTCAAAAGAAATATTTTTCCAGATTTT